ATGACAAAATAATAATAATTTATAAATTATCAAGGGTTCATGAGGGAGGGGGGCAAAGAGGGAAGGGGAAAAAGATCTAGTGTCATTATTGATATGTATGTGTTTCACCATCATCATTTTGATGTGTGTATATTTTTGTGGTATTATTCATTTCTTTATTCTTGCTATATATTTTTACTGTTTTAAATGTGTTGATTTCTGGGTGGCAGTGTCTTGTATGTTGACTCATCGGTTTGTCTACTGTTGTTGTCTATTATCTGTCCCTTAGTATTTTTTGTAATATTAGTTTTGTTTTTATAAATATCTTTTCATTTCTCCTTGTCTGTGTAAACCTTTATTTTACGCCATATTTGAGGGATACTTTTACCGGATATAAGATTCTTGGTTGCCAATTTTTCTTTCAGGCTTTTGTATGTCACTCCATTTGCTTCCCTCTCACTTTAAAAAAAAAAAAGTTTTATTGACATATAAGTCACATATAATATAATTAAATAGTTCAATCATATGAAAGAGTTGTACAATCATCACCACAATCAACTGTGGAAGCTTTTCTTCTTTCTTGTGCTCCACCGTCCCCTCCATGCCCTCAAGATACCAATCATCCAGTTACCGTCTCTGAGGATTTGTATCCTGAATTTTTTATGCAGATAAACACACAAAAACAAACAAACCATGACAACAACAAAATAATATAAAATAACAATTGAAAATAAAGTCGAAAATATCAAAAACTAGAATAAATTTTAAATAGGTCAGAGGAGATCAAATACTAAGGTGTGAAATGTTCACCTAATGCATCTCTAGTAATCTGCTTTCCAATGCACTCTACATGATAGCAAGGCTCTGCTCGCCCCTGGTTTACGTCCCAGAGGGTTCACGGGGGTGGGGGGATGGGGGGTTAATGCACACGTGTTTCTCCTCCCCTATTTTTTAAAAAACGGAAACCACTTTAAAATGGGTCAAATGGGAGATTGGATGATAAGGTATTTCATTTCCATGTGCTTCTTGCTGCCATGGTCCCTGAGCTTCTTCTCACTGGTTTTCCTTTGTATATGACTGCTCTTTTCCCCAGTGTTCTCGAGACCCTCCCCCGGTCCGCGGTCTGGGACCGCGTGACCATGATGTACTGCAGGATTTTTCTTTGGGGGATATGCTGTTTTCTGCTCTTGATCTACTGTCAGGGACATTTCCTTCCAGCATTTCTTGTATTATTTTCTCTGTGGATTTTCTGTTTCTTCTTGTTCTAGAATCCCAATGA